TGTCTCTTTTTTATCTTAAACTAAACACAAGTTCTCTCATTATCTTAACCTAAACCTATTTCCCTTGTTGTTCTACCTTAAACACCGTGTCTCTTTTTTATCTTAAACTAAACACAAGTTCTCTCATTATGTTAACCTAAACCTATTTCCCTTGTTGTTCTACCTTAAACACCGTGTCTCTTTTTTATCTTAAACTAAACACAAGTTCTCTCATTATCTCAACCTAAACCTATTTCCCTTGTTGTTCTCACTTAAATCATTCTTTTATTATCCCATCACTAGCCATAATTTTACTCATCATCACATCTTTGACATCATAACCCTAGTTTTAAGAACAAAAGTAAGCTAATTATACAGACCAGAACTAAAAAAACAGATTATAAATTGATAAAGATAATTCATATAACAAACTGACTGACAAAAGTGCTTAACTTACTAAAAACTATAGTGAACAGAATGCACTGAATCATCATTTAAAACAATTGTTTCAACCCTAATTACAATAACAATATTTCCAATGATTTGGTAATCTCGAATTAAACTGCTCCTCATATCTGTATTTTTATCACTCGATCTATGTATTCTCATTAGTCAAATCACTTGACTTCGGAGGGGACTATTTTTCATCACTTAAATAATTCTCTTCAATATTATTAACAGAGCCTTTCAGGTAAACTACAAATATAAGTTTTCCATTCTAAAAGCATAACAGTTAACAAAGAAAAGATTTAGATAATCCACTTGTTTCGTTGCTTATCTTTTAACTAGTTCTGAGCCACACACATGTATCAGTTGATAGTACTATAGTGTTACTACAGTGTAAAGAATTATTTGGAAGTGTAGTATTTCGCTTGTAATATACACTCTGGCAAAGGAAAATAATCTAGGCATTATTTTCGATAGTTTCAAAAAAATTAAACACTTCTCTGAATACCAATAAGGAAATGCGTGGGATTTTTACAAGTTTATTTGCGTGAAGTACCTCAAAATTAAACTTGTTATATTCGATGACGAGGAACCCACTTTGAGACTAATAATGGCTGGAGCCGGCTTGAATGGGTAATAAAGAAAAACCTTGTCGAAACATTGT